ATCCTGCTTCCTGTCAGTCTGAATCCATTCCCTCCTCGTCCTGGCAGGGCTCAGGGCAGGGTCTGAGCTCAGGTTTGTGTTTTGCCCCCAATTCCGGTGGTTTTGGGTGATGTCTCCAGTTTTCCCTTTTTCCTTTCCGTTGAAAGGGTGATGTTAACAAAATGGGGGTTTAGGAATTCCTGAGAAGGTGAAATAGGGGAATTGGCACCAAATCCCCACGTGCCAAGGGCTGGAGTTGAGGTGGGGAGGGCTGAGCTGCTCGGGGGCCTCCATCTCTTACCATGCACCAGCAGAGGAGCTCAAAACTGGGTTAAAAGCAGAGGAAAATGGGAAATGAGGAGAGAGGAGGTTACTGCAGCTCCTGAAGCAGCAGGGAGCAGGCAGGACTTTGCTGAGGTGGCTGATCCCTGCCAGGTGTGAGCCTGGAGAGCCTTTCCAGGCTGCTGCCTCACCATCTTTAATTGTGCCCCTTTGGGCTGGGCAGCTCAGCAGGGTGGGGACAGCCTGAGTGCCCCTCCCCAGCTCTGACTTTTCTCCGATTTTTCTGCGTTTTGAAGAAAATCAAAGCTATCAAGAAAAAGCTGAGCGTGCTGTGCATCGACTTCAACAAGAACCTCAACGAGGACACCACCTTCCTGCCCTTCTCCAGGGAGGAATTAGGTATGGAGTGCTCTGCTGGCAGGGCCCCCAGTGCCTGCACTGGATGATCCCAGAGCATTGCTGCAGAATCCCGGGCTCGCCCTCAGCCCCTGCCTTGCTCTTTTCCCAGGGGGGCTCCCTGAGGACTTCCTGAACTCCCTGGAGAAGACAGAGGATGGGAAGCTGAAGGTCACCCTGAAGTACCCACACTACTTCCCCCTGCTGAAGAAGTGCTACGTGCCCGAGACCAGGAGGAAGGTGGAGGAGATGTTCAACTCCAGGTGCAAAGAGGTCGGTGGGGCTGACCAGGGGATCTCCCCTGGCAGTTGTGTTTCTTTCCACACTGCTTCCCTTTGTCGCTGTCGAGGCAGGACGGGAATGAGGAGACTCTGATCAGAAGGCTGTGAGAGTAAAACTCTGATTTATTCAAAATACACTGCTCTTTTATACAGAGCTTCGTGAGGACCAACTCCTGAGAGTAAAACTCTGATTTATTCAAAATACACTGCTCTTTTATACAGAGCTTCGTGAGGACCAGCTCCATTGGTCCTGAAGTGAAAACAACCCACAGCATTGGTGCAAAGTGCTTGACGCACAGTGATAGAACTTAACTATAAACAGTGTGAAAAACAAGTGAGATAAAGAATTATTTACATTCTTCCCCAGCTCTTTCCCAGGTTTTTGCTTGGCTAGAAACTCTCAGTTTCTTTCTTTGACTGAATCTGAGAGCCACATCCCTTCTCCCCCGTGTGCTTCACTCTGCCGTGCAGGAGAACTGCCTGATCCTGAAGGAGCTGGTGGACCTGAGGGCTCAGAAGGCCAATCTGCTGGGCTTCAGCACCCACGCCGACTTCGTGCTGGAGATGAACATGGCCAAGAGCAGCCGGACGGTGGCCACGTTCCTGGGTAGGTCCTGGGGCCAAGCAGGGGTGTCCTGGGCCGGGTGTGCTGCTCTGATCCCTGATCCCAGCCCTGCCTGGCTTCCCCAGATGAGCTGGCCCAGAAGCTGAAGCCCCTGGGGGAGAAGGAGCGGGCTGTGATCCTGGACCTGAAGAAGAAGGAGTGCGAGAAGCGCGGGCTGGACTTCGACAACCGCATCAATGCCTGGGACATGCGCTACTACATGAACCAGGTGGAGGAGACCAAGTACAGCGTGGACCAGAACCTGCTCAAGGAGTATTTCCCCATGCAGGTGGTCACCACGGGCCTCCTGGCCATCTACCAGGAGCTGCTGGGCCTCACCTTCCACCTGGAGGAGAAGGCTCAGGTGTGGCACGAGGACGTGCAGCTCTACACGGTGAGGGACGCGTCCTCCGGGGAGACCATCGGGAAGTTCTACCTGGACCTGTACCCACGGTGAGGCCTGGGGAGGGGGGAAATCCGGGAGCAGGGCTGGGGCAGGGGGAGCAGAGCCTGAGGAAGAGGAGATTCCTGCTCCCAGTTGTGTGGAGGGGAGGGAGTGCCACGTGCTGGGGCAGGGATGTCACCGAGGTGTCACCGGCGTGTCACCAGGGCGGTCACCGGGAGCTCCTCAGAGGACCACAACGGGGCAGGCCATGGCTGTGTGTGGGTTTTGGGGGGATCCCTGAGCCTCCTGTCCCTCCCCAGGGAAGGGAAGTACGGACACGCCGCCTGCTTCGGCCTCCAGCCCGGCTGCCTCTTGCCGGACTCCAGCCGGCAAATCTCGGTGGCCGCCATGGTGGCCAACTTCACCAAGCCCACGCCGGACGCCCCTTCCCTGCTGCAGCACGACGAGGTGGAGACTTACTTCCATGAGTTTGGGCACGTCATGCACCAGCTGTGCTCTCAGGTGAGGCCTCCCTGCGCTGGCACGGCTTGGGGTTTTGCCCCCCAGCCCGTTTTCCCCTGGAATTCCGAGCCGGCCGTGTCCCCCAGGCGGAGTTTGCCATGTTCAGCGGGACGCACGTGGAGCGGGACTTTGTGGAGGCCCCGTCTCAGATGTTGGAGAATTGGGTGTGGGAGAAGGAGCCGCTGCTGCGCATGTCCAGGCACTACAAGACGGGGAGCCCCATCCCGGATGAGCTGCTGGAGAAGCTCATTAAATCCCGGCAGGCAAACACAGGTGGGAGGGGACGGACGTGCTCTGGGTGTGGGGACAGCAAGGGGACACTCGGTGACCTGGCTGGGGACAGAAAGGCTTTTCCTTGCTCGCCCTGGTGCTGGGGGTTCTGAGGGGATGGGGGGAAGGAACCCACAGGTGGGAAAGAGAGAGGGTGACTTGGCACGTGGAAGGGACAAAGAGGTGCCACCAGCCTCGGTGACACTCCTGCAGGCAGCATTCCAGCCTCAGTTTCCCTTCTCGTCGTCCTTTTTTGGAGCAGGGCTCTTCAACCTGCGCCAGATCGTCCTGGCCAAGGTGGACCAGGCGCTGCACACCCAGACCAAGGCTGACCCCGTGGAGGTGTTTGCCCAGCTCTGTGAAGAGGTGCTGGGTGTCCCTGCCACCCCAGGTACGGGCTGCCACCCTCCTGTCCCTCCCAGCCTGGCTCAGCAGGTTCCTCTCGGGTGGGGGATGGTTCCTGCTGGCTCCGGGAAAAGCAGGGCTGGAAAAACCTGGAAAGTTCCTCCCTTTGTGCCCTGGGCTGTGAGCACAGCACTGCAGAGGGGGATTTTCCATGGGGAAAACCACCCCTCGTGTCCCCTCAGGTACAAACATGCCGGCCACCTTCGGCCACCTGGCCGGGGGCTACGACGCCCAGTACTACGGCTACCTCTGGAGCGAGGTGTACTCCATGGACATGTTCCACACCCGCTTCAAGCAGGAGGGAATCATGAACTGCAAGGTAGGGAGAGGTTTCTGCCTGCGTGCCCGGGCTGTTGGAGTCGGGCTGGGTGTCCCAGCCCTGCCCGCCCCGTGTGTGTGCCCGCAGGTGGGCATGGATTACAGGAACTGCATCCTGCACCCCGGCGGCTCCGTGGACGCGGCTGACATGCTGAGGAGGTTCCTGGGCCGGGAGCCCAAGCAGGACGCCTTCCTGGCCAGCAAGGGACTGAAGGTGGAGAGCAGCTCGGTGCCTTCGGCCTGAGGTGCTGCTGGGCCCTGCCAGGGGAAGCTCCTGCCCACGCACCCACCCTGGCCTGGCTCCTGTCACCAAACAGCCCCGGCCACCCCTGCCTGGAGCTGCCCCTCCATGCCCCGAGCCCCTCCTGGGCTTTGGGAGCCCTGGGCTCTGTGGTGACACACGGGTGACCCTGCCCTGGTCACCCCGGGGCTCTGTGGTGACACTCAGGTGACCTGCTGTGGTCACCCTGGGCTCTGTGGTGACACATGGGTGACCTGCCCTGGTCACCCTGGGCTCTGTGGTGACACACGGGTCACTCTGCCCTGGTCACCCTGGGCTCTGTGGTGACACACGGATGACCTGCCCTGGTCACCCCGGGGCTCTGTGGTGACACTCAGGTGACCTGCCCTGGTCACCCCGGGCTCTGTGGTGACACACGGGTGACCTGCCCTGGTCACCCTGGGCTCTGTGGTGACACACGGATGACCTGCCCTGGTCACCCCGGGGCTCTGTGGTGACACATGGATGACCTGCCCTGGTCACCCTGGGCTCTGTGGTGACACACGGGTGACCTGCCCTGGTCACCCCGGGGCTCTGTGGTGACACTCAGGTGACCTGCCCTGGTCACCCCGGGCTCTGTGGTGACACTCAGGTGACCCTGCCCTGCTCACCCCGGGGCTCTGTGGTGACACACGGATGACCTGCCCTGGTCACCCCAGGGCTCTGTGGTGACACTCGGGTGACTGTGCCCTGGTCACCCTGGGGCTCTGTGGTGACACTCAGGTGACCTGCTGTGGTCACCATGGGCTCTGTGGTGACACTCGGGTGACCTGCGCTGGTCACCCCGGGCTCTGTGGTGACACACGGGTGACCTGCCCTGGTCACCCTGGGCTCTGTGGTGACACTCGGGTGACCTGCTGTGGTCACCCCGGGACTCTGTGGTGACACTCAGGTGACCTGCCCTGGTCACCCCAGGGCTCTGGGTCACCCACACCAATTGGCTGAACTTTGAACCTGATTTCTGCACAAGGGTGAGTTTTTGGCCTCATTTGGTGCCGGGGAGGAGGGGGAGTTCCCAAACTTGAATCTTTGTTTTTAAATCCCTTCTCTTTTAAGAAACCTCGTTGTTGTTGTTGTTGTTGTTGTTGTTGCCACCTCGGCTTGGTTTGTGTCCCGGGACAGACACGACTGTCACCAGGGCAGGGACAGTCCTGCTCTCCTCATCTCTGGGCAGCTCTTGGCTGAGCAGCAAAGATGGGGAGATCCCAGAGCTCAAAACCCACAGGGAATTGACTGGAACATCCTGCCCTGAGCCCCTCAGGGACCTTCCTGCCAGGCAGGGGGACAGAGGTGGCCGGTGCAGGTGTTCCAGAGCAGGGAATTTGGGGACGTGACCTCTGTCAGATGTCCCAGGGCCATCTCGAGGTCATCCTGGGGCCACCCCAGGGCGTTGGGGGGCTCAGGCCGTGGCAGCCGAGGGTGTTGCTGTTGCTGTCAGCTCCGAGGGGGCTGGGCCAGGGCAGGGTTGTGTTTAGGACTGAAAACACCGAGCTGACAGCTTCAAACAACACAAATGCCAAGCTAAAAATACCCCGTGGGCTCCATGCCTGGTCTTGAGCTGCCGGGAGGGACAGCAGCCAGGCCGGGCTGTGCCACCTGCCCCTGGCTGTCCCCAGTGTCCCCAGAGCCTGCGTGGCACAAAGCTCCTGACCCCCAGGGCAAGGGCTGCCTTTGCTCCTGGCTTGGGAAAGGTCTTGGGGCGCTTCCTCGGGGGCTGAGGAGCTCCAAGGGGGGCTGAGGAGCTTCAGGGGGAGCTGGGATTTGTGTCCCAGCCCTTCCAGCCTCTGTGCACTGCGTGAGGCTCTCAGATTTGATTTGAGGGCTCTCAGATCCATCCCTGCCGCTCTGCCGTGGTTTGGGGACACGAGTGATGGCGCCCCGGGCTGTTCCTTGTTCCCTCTCCTTGTCACCAAAGGGACAAGGCTCCCCTCAGTGCACAGTGTTGCTGTCACCTCCCTCCCCCAGGCCCTGCTGGTGACACGGGAAGGTCGGTGACAACCCCTGGGGTCCGGGAGAGGCTCCTTGGTGCTTGCTGGGGCCACCTGGAGCATCTTGTCCTTGTCCCTCCCTCCGTGTTTCAGGCACGGCCGGGCGCTGCCCGCCCGCGCTGCCCCTGGGTGTTTTTAGTGTCCTGTTTTACTGAGCTTTCATCGTTTTCCCCGACTCTTCTCTCCAGAGAGAGAGAGAAAGAAGTGAAGCTGAACAGGGAAACCACGCACTTTCCTCCCTCCTTCCCAGCCCACAGCTCCCTCTGTCCCCTCTCCAGTGTCCCCACTGACCTGGCACCTCTCCAGTCCCAGGAGCAGCACCGGGACGTGGAGCTGCACCTCCCCATCCCCATCCCCATCCCAGGCTGGCAGGGAAGAGAGCTCCTTTTTATTTTGGGGTTTGGATTCCGGGGTTGTTTTTTTTCCTGTTAACCGTTTCAAGGGCAAACTGGTGTGTGTGTGTGTGTGTGTGTGTGTGTGTGTGTGTGTGTGTGTGTGTGTGTGTGTACTGGTCACGTCCCGCCCCGCTTGTTTCCGTGACTGGATTTTAGACGGTTCCCAGCACTAATAAAGGTTTTCCTCGGTGGAAATTCGGGCTCGGGTCCTTTGGGGAGGGGCAGGCACGCAGCCGCACCCCCGCCAGATCCCCCGCAGGATGCGGCGCAGGGGCTCCTGTCCCACGAAGATGGGCACGGAGTGGCAGGCGCAGGGTGGCAGCGTGCGGGGCGTGAAACCCTGGGGAGCGACAGGCGGTGACCCCCGCGCGTGCCTCAGTGTCCCCGCGTGTCCCGCGTGTCCCCGGGCCCGCACCTGGGTGAGGAAGGGGTGGCCCAGCGCCGCCTCCGGGCTGGGCCGTGCCGCGGGCTCGGGGTGCAGCATGCGGGCGATGAGGGCGCGGGCGCGGGGCGAGAGCTGCGGGGGCAGCGGGTACCGAGCGCTGCGGATGCGCCGGTAGAGCTCGGCCCGGCGGCGAGCCTCGAACGGGGCGTGGCCGGTCAGCGCCGTGTACCTGGGGAGGCCGGGCGGGAGCGACCCGCTGCTCCTCCCGCCGGTGTCGCTGGCCCTCGTCTGGCCCCTCTGGTCTCCCTCCGGGCTCTCCGTCCTCCCTCCATCACCCCTCTTCTTCCTCGCAGCGTGCCTGGCCTCCTCCTGAGCCCCCTGTCCCCCCTCCAGCTCCTCTACTCTTCCTCCAGCCTCTCCATCCTCCTTCCAGCTCTGCTGTCCTTCCATCTCCCCAAATCCTCCTTCCATCTCCCCGAATCCCACCCTCCTTCCATCTCCCCTTATCCCACCCTCCTTTCATAATCCCACCCTCCTTCCATCTCCCTGAATCCCACCCCTCCTTCCATAATCCCACCCTCCTTCCATCTCCCCGAATCCCACCCTCCTTCCATCTCCCTGAATCCCACCCTCCTTCCATCTCCCTGAATCCCACCCTCCTTCCATAATCCCACCCTCCCTCCATCTCCCCGAATCCCACCCTCCTTCCATAATCCCACCCTCCCTCCATCTCCCCTCATCCTCCCTCCATCACCCCTCATCCCACCCTCCTTCCATAATCCCACCCTCCTTCCATCTCCCCGAATCCTCCCTCCCTCTCCCCTCATCCTCCCTCCATCTCCCCTCTCCCTCTCCCCTCTCCCTCTCCCCCCAGCCCCTCTCACAGGGCACAGCCCAGGGCCCAGATATCCGAGGGTCCCGCGTGTCCCCTGCGGTCCAGCACCTCCGGGGCCAGGTAACTGGGTGTCCCACAGAGTGCCCTGAGTTGGGGGGACAGGAGAGGTGACCCCGGCGGACACGGGCGGGGCGAAACCCCCTCGGTGCAGCCCCCCCGGCCCCGCTCACCCCCAGCGCCGCCCGGGCGGTGCCGCCCGCCCTGCCAGCCCCAGGTCCCCGATCTTCACCCGCATCCGCTCCGTCAGCAAGAAGTTGCCTGTGCAGGGAGGGACGGGCGTGGTGTCACCCTCAGCCGCCTCGGTCGCCCCCCGGTCACCCCCCGGTGCCCCCACGCACTCAGTTTGAGGTCCCGGTGCACGAGGCCGTGGCCGTGCAGGTAGCGCAGCCCCGAGAGCAGCTGCCGCAGGTAGTACCGCACCTCCGGCTCCGTCAGGCGGCCCCGCGCCCGCACCGTGTCGGCGAGGGACTGGGGACAGAGCGACAGCGGCTGCGACAGCCGGGGGGGGCTGGGGACAATGGAGGGGGACACGGGACAGGGACTGGGGACAGAGCGACAGCGGCTGCGACAGCCGGGAGGGACTGGGGACAATGGAGGGGGACACGGGACAGGGACTGGGGACAGAGAGAGAGCGGCTGGGACAGCCAGGAGGGGCTGGGGACAATGGAGGGGGACACGGGACAGGGTTTGGGGACAGAGAGAGAGCGGCTGGGACAGCCAGGAGGGACTGGGGACACGGGATAGAGGGACCGGGACGGGGGATGGAGTGACAGGGACTGGGGACAGAGCGACAGCGGCTGCGACAACCGGGGGGGACTGGGGACAATGAAGGGGGACACGGGACAGGGACTGGGGACAGAGGCTGTGACAGCCAGGAGAGACTGGGGACAATGAAGGGGGACAGGGACAGGGATCGGGACAGGGACTGGGGACAGAGCGACAGCAGCTGGGACAGCCGGGAGGGACTGGGGACAATGAAGAGGGGACCCGGGACAGGGACTGGGGACAGGGCGGCAGCAGCTGGGACAGCCGGGAGGGACTGGGGACACGGGACAGAGGGACCGGGACGGGGGATGGAGTGACAGGGACTGGGGACAGAGCGAGAGTGGCTGCGACATCCGGGAGGGGCTGGGGACAGAGGCTGTGACAGCCAGGAAGGACTGGGGACAATGAAGAGGGACACGGGACAGAGGGACCGAGACAGGGGATGATGGAGGGACAGGGACTGGAACAGAACGAGACACCAGGTTGGGCCCTGCTGAAACCCCGGCCTGAGGGTGCTCAGTTTTGGGGTCCAGTTTTGGGGTGTAGGGGCTCAGTTTCAGGGTTTAGGGGCAGTTTTGGGGTTTAGGGACTCGGTTTCGGGGTTCTGGGGCTCCGTTTTGGGGTGTAAGGGCTCAGTTTTGGAGTGCAGAATTTCAGGCTTCAAGGGCTCAGTTTCAGGGTTCAAGAGTTTAGTTTCACGGTTCAAGGGCTCGGTTTCGGAGTCAAGGGCTCGGTTTCGGGGTTCGGGGGCTCGGTTTCGGAGTTCAAGGGCTCGGTTTTGGGGTTCAAGGGCTCGGTTTCGGGGTTCGGTGGCCCGGTTTCGGAGTTCAAGGGCTCGGTTTCGGGGTTCGGGGGCTCGGTTTCGGGGTTCGGGGGCTCGGTTTCGGGGTTCAAGGGCTCGGTTTCGGGGTTCAAGGGTTCGGTTTCGGAGTTCAAGGGCTCGGTTTCGGGGTTCAAGGGCCCGGTTTCGGGGTGCAGGTCTCACCCCCCGGCTGCAGAGCTCCAGCAGCAGGTAGAGGTGGCCGCCGTCGGCGAAGTGCCCGTGCAGGCGCACGATGTGCCGGTGGCGGAGGCGACTCTGCAGCTCCCGCTCCCGCTCCACCTGCACCGACAGGAGCCCGGCAGCCCCGGCGGGACCCTCGGGGACCGGGGACCCCCCGCACGCACCCCGCGGGGACGGGAACCCACCCAGACACGCGGGGAGGGGCACCGGGCGGCTCTGCGGGGACCCCACGGGCGCTGTCCCCCCTCCCCGGGGATCGTCCCCCCGGACTCACCCGGTGCCCGGTGCCCGCCGCGGCCAGCCGGGCCCGCGGGATGACCTTCGCCGCGTAGAGCCGGCCGCTGGTCACCTCTGTCACCTGGTAGCAGCGGCCGAAGGTGCCCTGCGAGTGACCCCGCGGCAACGGGGGGACACGAGAGGGTCCCGAGGGTCGGGGTGCCCACCCAGGTGCCCCTCGCCGTGGGGCAAGGAGCCCCAGGGATCGGAGCTGCTGGGGCTCAGTCCTGTGCCTCAGTTTCCCCTTCTCCAGAGGGGATGGGGTGGGTCCCCCTTGGATCGGGACACCTCGGGGACCCCTCCTGGGGGGTGCGGGACCTCCCCCACCCCCGGGTGCCCAGCGGGGAGGGGGCGAGGGGCGGTTCAGGGGATTTACCTCTCCCAGGAGCCGTCCCCGCTTGTAGAGCGTCCCGCTGCCCTCGTCGCGGAGGTACCGGCCGGGGCTGGGCTCAGCCCCTGCGCTCGCCGGGACCATCCTGCCCGCTCTGCCGGGCACCGGGACACCGGGACACCGCTCTGCCACCCCGCGGGACACCCGCACCCCGCCACTGTAACCCCTTCAGCTCCAGCCTGCCGGTGCCCATGGCGCCCAGGGGTGCTGCGCGCCCCCCCCCCCGCACCCAACACCCACCGCTCCGGCCCCCCGAGCCCCCTCAGAAGACCCCGATCATGAAGCGGAGACCCCCGCGGGGGTCCCGGCCCTCGGGGATGCCCAGCACCGGGGGGTCCCGGCTGGGGATCCGACCGCGCCCGGAGCTCCTGGTGCCTTTTCCCCTCCGCCGCTGGGGCTGAGGGGGTCCCGGGGGGCGCTGATGTCGCTGTGCAGCACCCGCGCCCCCCGGGACGCCATCAGCACCCCCCCGACCGCCGGAGCTCCGGGCCCCCAAGGGTTAACGGGCGGCCGGGGAGGGCTGGGCGCACCTTTGGGGCTGGATATTAATAACGCGGCGGGGAGGGACGGGCGGCGAACGGGGAGGGTGGGGGGGGAAGCCTCGCCCGGCCCCCCCGGAGCTGCGCAGGCGATGCCCGCTCGCCCCGGGTCCCCCCCGCTCGCCGCCGCCGGGGCGCCGAGCCGGGACCGAGCCGCCGGGACGCCGCGGACGAGGGGCGGCATGGCCGGGGAGAGCCGTGGGGGCGGCTCGGACCCACGCGGGGCACCCCACGGTGCTGGGTAAGCTCCTGATTTCTGCTTTAACCCTCGCGAACCCCCGCCCCGCGGCCCCGCGCCCCCCCCCCTGGAGCTACTGGGGTAAACTGAGGCACGCGGTGCCCCCCGCGCTGCCGGCAGGGTCTGGGCATCACCCACCCGGCATCGCCCGAGCCTCGGCGGGGTCCGGGCGCTCCCAAACCCCCCTGGAGTGGCAGCAGCGGGACCCCCCCGGCCCTTTCCGTGTCCTGCTCGGGGGACTCAGAGCCGGGGGCTGCCGGTGGCCACCCGCGTCCCCCCGGTCGCCGTGGGAGCTGCGCGGCGGGGCGGAACCGGCTGGGCCGGGGGATTCCCCGACACGGGGATGGGACCCCGGCACCCCCCGCACCCTCCCGGCGCCTCCCACAGCGCCGGGCTGGGCGCTTTGGGGTGCTGCAGGATCGAGCGCTGTGGGGCGCGGGGGCCTCCCGCTGCCCCCCACCCTGCTCGCCCCACGGCGGGGCCGGATCCGGCGCGGGGAGCGACGCGGAGCCCCGGCGAGCAGGTCTGGTCCTGCCCCGGCAGGCAGCGATCCCGGCCCGGCGCCCGCCGCGGGGCCCCGGGGGCGGCGGGGCCGTCGCCCGGGCCGGGGCCGCGTGGGTACGCGTGGGGGACACGGCGTCACCCAGCCTGTGTCACCACCCAGCACCAGTGTCCCCCACCCGCCCGTCCCCGCTGGTGGCACCAGACCCCACATCCCCACCCTGGGGACCCCCGCGCTGGGTCTGGGATTGCCGCCCTCACCCCCGTGCCCCTCGCCGGGGTCCCCGGGGGGGCTCGGCGGTGATGCTGGGCCGGGGGACACCCCGGTGCCACCCCCCTGTCCCTGTCCCTGGTGGGCTCAGGGCTCTCTGCTCCGCAGGTCCTGGCGGCTGCTGCTGCTGGCCTGGCTCAGCCTGGTGGGCACGGCACAGGTGAGGGGCCTGGGGGGCAGCTGGGGGGGCGCACGGTGGCACCCCCAGGCTCCTTCACCCCACCCCCAGCGCTGACCATCACCTTCCTCACGCAGGACCCAGCCCTGGGGACACCAGCGAGGGTCCCCGAGCCCCCAGCCCCTGCTTGGCCCCAGGGGACCTGGGGGTCCTGGGGACCCTGGAGCTCCTGCTCCAGCTCCTGTGGGGACGGCGTCGCCCTGCGCAGCCGGAGGTGCCTGCGGTGAGTGGGGGACAGCACAGACCCCCCCGGGGTGTCCCCAGCTCCCAAACCCTGCGTGGCACCCAAATCCCACGGCACGGCCTTGCCACCACCTCGTGTGGCACCAGGGCCATGCAAAGGGATGGGGGACACTGTGGGACATCGGGGTCCCCTCGCCTCTTCTGCTGCCCCGTGGGGACGTGCCGCTCTCAGTCCGTGGTGGCTCGGTGGAGCTGGGGGTCGCCGTGGGGGACACGGGGGGACACGCGCTGTCGCTGTGACCGCAGGAGCGGCGAGGAGCGGCCGTGCACGGGGGACCCGCGGCAGTACCGGCTCTGCCAGCTCCCGGTGAGTGCCGCGGCACCGGCGTGGCTGTCCCCGGTCCCCGTCGCGGCTCCCCCGGCTCTATCCCGGTGCTCCCGCAGGGCTGCCCCAGCGGCTCCGTGCCCTTCCGGGCCATGCAGTGCTCGCTCTACGACAACCGGCCCGTCCTGGGCTCCTCCGCCCGCTACCGCTGGGTGCCCTTCCACGGAGGTGAGTCCCGGGCTGCTGACGGTCACCGGGGCCGTCCTGGGCATCACCCCAATCCCTTCCCCCCTGCTCTGGCAGCCCCCAACCTGTGCGACCTCAACTGCCTGGCCGAGGGGCACAACTTCTACTACAGCTTCGGCCGGGTGCTGGACGGGACCCGCTGCGGCCCCGGCTCCCCGGACCTGTGCGTCGGTGGGCGCTGCCTGGTGGGTGCACACGGGGCTGGGACCCCCCTCGGGACCCCCCGGGACCCCCAGTCCCGGGCAGGCCGTGCTGAGGGGGTGTCTGGGCTCCCCACAGAGCGTGGGCTGTGACGGGATCCTGGGCTCGCGCCCCGACGCCTGCGGCCCCTGCGGCAGCGGCCACGGCTCGTGTGTCCTCATCCACCGGCTGTTCCAGGGCTCGGACCCCTCCTCCGGTGAATGAACCATTGCCCCGGCCCCCTCCATGGGTGAATGCTTTGGCTCTTGGCTCCCCTGTCCTCCTGTCCCCATCCGTGTCCCCAAGGCATCGCCTGGGTGCCCCCGTCCCATCCTGAGGGTCTCTGGTCCCTTCCTGGGACAGGGACTCGGAGCAGCCCCTTCACTTGGGGGGGATTAACTCCTCGCAGAGGGGTCACTCCTGGGGTGTGGGGGGGTCTGTTATGACCCCAGGGGTGTCTGGGGTACGGGGGGCACCCAGAGTCCCTGATGGGCCCAGCTGGGTCAATGCCTCAGGCCCGGGTCCCCTCTGTGCCCCGTCCCTCCCTCTCTGTCCCCCCGTGGTGCCCCCGGGCCCTGCCCAGGCTCTGCTCTGACCCTTCCCCCTCACAGGATATTTGGGATATGTGAATGTGACCAAGATCCCGGCCGGGGCCACCCACATCAAGGTGACGGACAAGAGCCGCAACTACCTGGGTAGGACGTGAACTGCCCCGGTCCCAGTCGGTCCCAGTCGGTCCCAGTCGGTCCCAGTCGGTCCCAGTTGGCCCAGGCTGGTGCCAGCTGTGTGTGCGGGCAGGGCAGGGCAGGGCAGGGCAGGGGTGGCCGTGTCACGCCGTGCTCTCCCATGTTTGTCCCATGTCGTGCCGTGCCGCTCCCTCCCTCGGATGCTGTTTTGAGCATCGCGGGGTCAGTGAACTCGCAAGCGCTCGGGGCAATTTTCCAGAGGCCGCGGCCGCGCGTTTTTGGGAAGGGCTGAGCTGGACCGGGGCCAGAGCGGCCACTGCAGCACCAGCACAGGGACCTCCATCCCCACCCTCGTCCCCTTTCCCGTGCAGCCGGAGCCTCTGCCCCCGTCCCAGCCGGGCTCGGGGGGCTCGGGGCTGGCTTTGCACACCGGGGTTTGGCTGCGGCTCGGGCCCGCAGCCAAGATCCGACAGGAACGCGGATTCCCGGATTCCCGGAGCCCCGAGCGCGGCTCCCCGGCCCACGCTGCCCTCCCGCGCCGGGAGAGGCCTCCGGTGGGGAGGCGGGCGGGGGTCGCGGGGGCCGTGCGGGGCTCGGTTTGCCGGAGCCGCTCCGTCCCGTAGCGCTGATGGCGAGTGACGGCCGCTACGTCCTCAACGGCGACCGGACCATCGCCTGGCCGGGGCCCTACGAGGCCGCCGGCACCGTCCTGACCTACAGCCGGGCCCCCGACGGCACCGAGAGCCTGGAGGCGCCCGGACCCACCCGCGAGGACCTGCACGTGATGGTGCGGGCAGGGGGACACGGGTTGGGGACCGCCACCATCCCCGCTGCCACCGCCCCTCCCAGCCCGCCTCGTGTGTGTCCCCCCACCCCGCCCAGGTGCTGCTGCAGGAGCCCAACCCCGGCATCGAGTACCAGTTCTGGCTGCCCCGCGGGCACCCCCAGCTCGGCCGCGGTGCCACCAGCCCCCTGCGGCAGCCGCAGCCCCGAGGGGCCGGCAGCCCCCCGCCCCCGGAGCCCCCGCGCACCCCGGGCCCCGCACCGCCCCCACGGCCCGGGGGCTTCGCCACGGAGCCACCGCCGAGGAGCCGGAGCCGGGACGGGGCTACCGCAGGTACATCCTCGGGGGTCCCCGCAGCCCCCCGCGGCCCTGCTGGGAGCGTCCCAGGTGGGACAATAAGATGGGGACGCTAAAAAGGACCCTAAAAGCCCTCGCCAGAGCTCTCAGGAGCCCCGTGTGACCCTCTCTGGGGTCCGGACCCTCAGCCTCCCCTCCCAAAGTTGCACGAGGGGGGTTTGGGGGGTCAGGAGTCCCCTCTGCCCCCGCGATTGCTGCAGCTTCATCCCCGCAGGGCGCTGCGGGAGGTGCCGCCCGCCCAAGGGGCGCTCCCAGCGCATCCGGCACTTCTGCCAGAGCGACTTCGGTGAGCGCCGCGCCGGGAGGGGCTCGGGACGGTGTCGGGGGGTGGGATGGGGCTGGGGACATTGCCAGGGACAGTGCCAGGGACAGTGCCAGGAGCGGGAAGGAGCTCAGGGTGGTGCTGGGGGCGGTGCTGGGGACGGGAATGTGCTCAGGGCGACGCCAGAGGATGGAAGGGGGCTCAGAATGATGCCAGGGATGATGAGAGGAACGGGAAGGGGCTCAGCGCGATGCTGGGGATGGGAAGAGACTTGGGGTGATGCCAGAAGCGATGCCCCCTCTGGGAAGGGGCTCAGCCTTGCCCCATCCTCACCCCCGCAGTGTTCCACGGGCGGATCCTGGCGCGGCGCGTGGTGGGGCGGGAGACGCGCTACGAGGTGGAGGTGAAGGCTCGGTACCGGCAGCTCTTCCCGCTGGTGGCCCGGGAGTACCTGTGGGTGCCCAGCACCTGCGGGTGCCCCACGCTCCACGAGGGCGGCGAGTACCTGCTGATGGCGCGGCGCCACGTCAACCACGAGCACACCCTGAACCGCATCCTGCTGCAGGACCACGGCTACGCCCGGCCCTGGACGCCCCGCGAGGCCCGGCTGGTGCGGGACGCGGCCCGGCACTGCCCCCAGCCCCGGCCGCCCTGAGCCCCGTCCCGGGGCGGGACCCCCGGGCGAACCGGCTGCTCCTGCCGGGCACCGAACCCTTCCCGTGCCCCCTCCCCGCAGTGGACCCCCCGCCCGTCTCGCCGTCCTTGGGGTCCGCGTGGTGGAGGGAGGGAGAAGGGGGGGGGGGGTGATAATTTATTATTATTTTTGCAGAAAATAAATCGGTTATCCCCTCACCGGCCGCGTGTCCCTTCCTGCCTTGCCCTGACCACACCAGGGGGTGCTCCCATTTCAGGGGGTCCCCTCTGTGTCCCCGTGGGCAGGGGGGGCTCCTCCGTGTCCCCACACTTCAGGGGGTCCCCTCCGTGTCCCCACGAGCAGGGGGTCGCCTCCGTGTCCCCGCGCTGAGCCCCAGGAGCAGCTCCCACCCGGCGCAGCGTGTCGCTGTCCCCATGGCCCCGTGCCAGGCTCTGCCTGCCGGGGTCGGGGACCTCCCGCTTATCTCCCTTCCGGCGGAGCCGAGCGTGTCCCCCGCCCGTGGCAGAGCCCCCTCCGCCCGTAACCCAACCCTTGGGCTGCTGGCGGCCACCGCGGGGCCCCGGTGGGGACAGGATGTGACCGGGGGCGCTGGGGCACCCCGGGGTGGGCTTGGAGCTGGTGCCGGGAAAAGCTGAGCCCTCCCAGCTCGTGCAGCTGGGGACTGTCCCCAAGCCGGGGCTCTGGGGTGTCCCGAGTGGCAGCTGCCAGCCCAGGAGGGTCCTTGGTCACATCGGGTGACACCACCACAAATGAGCCCCGGGACCAGCTGGGGGGCGGCAGAACTGAGCCCCAGCTGGTGCCAGTAAAGTCTGAGTGGTTCCAGGTGCTCCGGAGCGATTCGGGCTGCAGAGGTGCCTCCACCCTATAAAAATGCTCCCTCCCACCGCACACCCCACGCTTAATTTGGGGCTGCTGGGGGGGGGGATTTTGTCCCTGGCAGGGTCCCAGCCATGGCAGGTTTGGGGGCCACCCCACGCACAAAGAAACCCTCGAGAGAGGAGCAGGGGCTCTCCACCCCGAGGGCTGCGGCTCGTGGTCGGGCCAAGAGCCGGCAGAGAGAGGGGGAGCAGGGGGAGCGCGTCCCGCGGGGGTGGGCGCGGGTGCCCACCTCCCCCACCACGCCCGGGACGGGGCGGCTGGTCCGGCGGGGAGCCGAGGAGAGCCCCGGCCCCGGGGGGAGCGGTGAGCGCGTCCCTGCCCGGGGAAATCCCTGCGCGGGGCAGCGGGGGCTGCCCTGGCCGTGCTGACGGGACCCCTCTGCCCCACAGACCCTGCGAGACCCCCAGCACCGCCCTGCGCCGGGGGCTCCTATTTCTCGGGGCTCCCCGAGGTTGAGCATCAGGACCCTGCTGTCCCTGCGGCCCCCAGCCTGTGAGTGTGTGTGCGGGGGTCCCCATAGCCCCCCAATAGGTGTGTGGGGGGGTCTATCAGCCCCCCCAGCACCACTGAGCCTCTGCTTCCCCCTCCAGGCCGAGCCCCCTGACCCCTGCGAGGGACGGGCCCCGGAAGGTGCGGAGGAAGCTGCAGCACACGCTGGTCCTGGAGCTGGTGAGCTGGGGGGGGGTCTGGGGGGCTCTGCAGCGCCCGGGGCTGGGGGCTGACCCCGTTCCCTGTCCCCAGGATGGGATCCTGCTCTACTCCTCCCTCCTCGCCCACGGGCAGAAGGATGCCACGGCCACCTTCACCACGGATTTCCAGGCGAGCTCCTACAAGGTGGGTGCCCCGGGGGTGGGACGGTGGCTGTTGAGTCTGGGGGGGTTGGGGAGCTGTGATTTGGGGCTGTGGATGATGATGTGGCTCTTCACTGCCACCCCATGTGGCCTCTGTGCCAATGTCCCTTGTGGCCGAAGGGGAAGGAGCTCCGAAATCCCATTGGTGAGGGGGTGAGGGATCCTGAACCCCCCTGGGGGCTCCCCTTGCTGTCACAATGGGGTGCTGGAGGTTTTCCAAGATGCTGTTCCCTCCCAGGTCCACGTGAAGCTGCGTCCACACGTGCAGGAGTTCTTGGAGAGCCTTTCCAAGACCTACGAGGTACCCAGAGCCCCCCCAGGCTCTGTGGGGTGACCCCTGGGGGGTTGGGGGGACTCGAGCAGCCCACGCAGGGACCTCCACCCTCTCTCTGCCAGATCATCGTCTACACCACTGCGAAGAAGGACTATGCCAAGAAGCTCCTGGAGGTGCTGGACCCCAAGAAGAAGCTGATCAGGTGATGGTGCTGCCCTGCTGGGGACCCCCGGTGTGGCAGGGCGGGGTCCCCACGGCTCTGTCTCCCTGCCAGGCACTGCCTCTCCCAGTCGGATTGTGTCTGCTCCCAGGGCTGCTACTGGAAGGACCTGACCTGCCTGGGCAGGGACCTGGCCAAGGTGGTGGCCCTGGACCACACCATGCAGGGCTTCCCTGCCCAGGTAGGGCAGCGCTGCTCCGGGGGGATTTGTCCCGGTCCCCGTGTTGGGTCCCTGTGTGTCATCCCCACCTTCTCCCTGTCCTCTCCTCAGGCTGCCAACTGGATCCCGGTGCCCCCGTGGTCTGGGGACCCTCAGGATGAGGAGCTGCTGCGCCTCATCCCACTGCTGGGCCAGCTGGGCCAGGCGGTAGGACCGGGGAAGGGACGTGGGGATGGAGATGGGAAAGGGATGTGGGGATGGGGACAGGAAAGGACATGGGGATGGGAAGAGGACATAGGGATAGGGACATGGGGATGGGGACAGGGATGTTGGGATGGGGACAGGGAAGGGGATGTGGGGATGGGGACATGGGGAAAGGGACATGTGGATGGGGACAGGGACGTTGGGATGGAGACAGGGAAGGGACGTGGGGATGAGGAAAGGACATGGGGATGGGGATGTGGGGAAGAGGACAAAAAAGGGATGTGGCGATGGGGACATGGGGATGGGAAAGGGACATTGGGGCGGGAAGGGGACAGGAAATAGGTGCAGGGATGGAGACATTGGGAGGGGGACAGGATGGGGACATGGGGACAGCAAAGGGACAGGCACTCTGGCACAGCCCACCCTACCCCGTTTCTCCCTGTGCAGGAGGACGTGCGCCCCGAGATCCAGCAGCAATTCCAGCCCTGCCAGCTGCCCACTGAGGATTAGGCCGGCCTGGAGGAGCAGGGTGGGGAACAGCTCTGGGAGAAGGCTGGAGAAGCTGTGCTCGGGGGCATCCAGGGCTGGGTGGTTGTGCCAGGACTCTCCCTTGGTGTTTGCAGGATCCCAGCTCATCCCTGGGGGCTGGGGGTGCCCCCCAAGGAGAACTGGGGCCTTTGGAGACAAAGCTCCGTCCTGGCTCCCTCCTCCCCCCCTACTCTGTGAGGTCCAGCCAAGGTTTTTCATTATAAGCTTGGAGAAAGGTCTGGCTCTGCCTCAATTCCCAAAACTCTTCAGCTGAGCAAACACACTGTGCTGGGGATGGCACAGCCAGGGAAGGGGAGGACACAAACCTCCTCCCCGGTGTCCTGGGGCAGTCCAGGGTCCTGGCACGGGGCCGGTGCCCCCGGGAGGGCCCTGGCTGGCAGCTCTCCCTGTGCCATCCGTGCCCAGTGCCGTGGGTGTGCTGCATGCTGGGGCACAGCTGCCACTGTGCCTCTGCCAGTCCCCGTGGGACAGAGCGTCTGGGGCGCAGCCACCCCGGGACCCCTTTTTTAAGGCCTAAAGCTGCTGCTGAGCAGGAATTGGGGACTCTGGAGGGGTTCTGGGCTGGCCTCGGCTGCCTCTGCTCTGGTGGGAGCCACTTGGGCTCGTGGCCGGGCTCCTGCCGTGGCCATGTGGGTGCAGCTGTTTGGGGACACGTCACACACGTCACATCTCGTCCCTCTGTGCCTGGGAAAGGGCACAGGGCTCCCGGCTCCTCTGGGGATGTCTCTGTCCCTGGCAGCGGGGGAGGAGCCACCCCTGCTGTCCCCTGTCCCCTCACACAGCTGGACACGAGTGGGACCATCCCACTCGCTGCTGGGAAGGGAAATCACCGCGGGGGGGACGGCGGCTGGAAAAGCAACAACCGATTTATTTGGGCTCCCCGCTCTGCCCCGGGCTGTCCCTGCAGCCCAGGCCGGTGTCACTGTGTCCTCCTGGCGCGGAGGAGCGTGCGACACATGGGGTACAGCAGTGCCAGCAGCACCAGGCTGCCGCCGGCCAGGACGGCGAGGAGCAGCAGGTCCCTGCGCGGCCCCGCCGGGCTGGGGGAGCCCTCCTCGGGCTGCTGGCACGTGTGGGTGATGTCCTGGAAGGTGTGGCCTGAGGGACACGACGTGCAGTTGTTGGCCAAAGCGCCCTGGCAGGTGTAGCAGGAGGGGTGGCAGCTGGCACAGACGCGGGCGCTGTCCCCAAGGGTGGCACCCCGTGCGCGGCCGTAGTAGCGTGGGGGGCAGTAGGGCAGGCAGGAGCCCTGGTGGGCGTACAGGGAGCGGCCACAGTCTGTGGAGAGAGGCTGGGGTGAGGCCTTGGGGAGCAGAGCATCGTCACTGTCCCCCCACGAAGCCTGGCTCACCCTGGCAGGCTCCCTGCTCGTCCCTCCCGAGACACTCGGCGGTGGCGGTGGCTGCGGAGCGCCTGGCTGGCATGTCCTCGTCCGTGCCGTGCAGGTGCAGGATGAAGCTGCTCAGCTGGCCTGGGGACACGAGGGACAGGGGGCTGCCAGGTGAGGGACATGGGGCTGGAAGCTCTGGGGGTGTCCCGCTCCCAGCCCTGTGCTGGCCAGGGAGCCCCTCAAACATCAGAGGGCTTGTGGCCAGGAAGGAGAAATCAAATTGCTCATCCACGGGGTGGGGGAAGGAAGCGTGACCAAGCACAGGGTGGTGACCCCAGTAAAATTGAGGTTCCTTCTCCATGGGGCACCCACCTCTGTTCTGGGCATCACCCCTGTTCTCCAGCTGGAGGGTCCAGATCCCCTTGGGGTTCTCATCCCAGAAGTGTGTGGACATGAAGGTCCAGTCCTTGTAGCCGTCCTGGCTGGTGTCGTAGGGGCTGGAGGAGGAGAGCAGAGCTGGGAGTGCCAGCCCAGGGGCCTGCAGGGGCAGGGTGTGACCTGAAGGGTCACCCCGTGCTTGCTCCCTGGGCACTCCCGAATGGCAGGGCTGCAGAGGAGTTTTGGGTCCACTGAACCCTTTTTTGGGAGTCTGCTGGCCCTGGGGAAGCTGTGGGAGCCCCTCTGTCCTTACCGCACCGTCACCAGCGTGGACGTGGTCCCCATGGGGCTGCTCAGAGCCACCACCAGGTCCCCCCTGCGGCTGTAGCTCAGGGACAGCTGCACCTGGACGTGCTCCAGTGAGCGGATGCTCTTGGAGCAGGAGGAGGCATCCGTGGAGATGGTGAGCCTGGAGCCGATGTCCCTGTCGAGGACACGCTGCAGGTGAGGACATTCCCTCCCCCTGCCACCGGGGCTCCAAGCACAGCACAGCCCGTGCAGCACAGATCACTTTTTGAGCCCCTGTGCTTGTGGTGGGCACAGCAAATCCTCGTGGGAGGCTGGACCTGGGCTCGCTGTCCCTTACCTGGGCACCTGCACGGCCTGGACCGAACATTTCTGCTGGGGCCGCGTCCCCGTCCACGTGGAGGCCGCCTGCACCAGCAGCCCCGCGTCCAGCAGCCCGTAGCCGTAGTAGTGGCTCACTGGGACGCCGGTGCCACCCAAGAGAGGGACCCGTGAGCCCCTGGGTGCCACCGGGGCCTGCTGGAAGGTGTTGGAGGGGCGCTGCACTCACCCCTGCGCCCGGCACCGTTCTCAGCCCAGTCCTCTGCCTGCAGGTGAGCGGGTCTGGAGGCCCTGATGATCAGGTGCTGCAGGTCCCGCCAGCTCAGGGCTGGGCTGGAAGCAAGCAGGATGCAGGACAGAGGTCTGGGTTAGTTTTTCATGGGGAGATTTGGTTCTTCTGGCAGGGGTAGAGCAACTCTCAGCCCAAGCTGATCCCCCCCCATGACCTCCTTTGGTGCCAAAATAGGAGCGAAGAGCTCCAGAGGACAACCCTCCTGCTCTCCCATGGCCCTGGGGGGAGCCACAGCTCTGCACCCCAACCTTCCTGCTTCCCCTCCCCTTTCTCATCCCTGGGTAGTGTCCCCATGTCTCGGTGTCACCTACTTGGCCTCCAGCGCCAGGGCCACCATGCCCGCGGCCAGCGGGGCCGAGGCGGAGGTGCCGGTGTGTTTGTCTGTGCAGCGGTGGTGCAGGTCAGTGGTCACCTGGGGGGACAGCGGGGTCTCAGGACTCTTTCCAAAAAAGCTGCCTGCACTTGGGGACCTTCATTAAATTCTCCTTTTGGGACACGGACGCCGAGCTGAGGCGGGCTGGGACCAGCCCGGTGCTGGGCTCGGCGGCCGGCGCGGAGCTGCTGCTGTGGCAGAGCTGTTGTGACACTCACGATCTGCACCTCGCTGGTGGCCCTGCTGCTGTAGGTGGTGGTGAGGATGGCGGGGCAGCTCTCGCTGTAGCGGGGCCGCTGCCCGTCCGCCAGGACGCTGCCCACCGACACCGTGTAGATGCTGTTGGTGTACCCGTCGCAGTTGCAGTTGTCGTAGTTGGTGCCGCCGTTGCCCGAGGCCCAGATGAAGATGGAGCCGAGCCCACCCCGTCCCTGTTGAAGAGCAGAGGGGGGTCAGCGGGTTGTCCTCGTGTCCCTGTGGCCCTCAAGGCCAGGGCTGGGCTTACCTGGACGACCCCTCTGTGGAAAGCGGCTGCAGCCAGGACTCCGGGCCCGTCCACCGTCCTGCCATCGTCCTCGGGGCCCCAGCTGGCGCTGTAGATGTGGATGTACTGGGGCTGCAGGCCCAGGGCCTGGGCCTCCACCATGTCCGTGATGGAGCCGTCCAGCATCCGCACGCCTGAGGGAGGCACCGGGCAGCCGTGGAGGGGACGGGAGCCACGCACGAGCCACACCAAGGGCAGGGCCTGGAGCTTTCAGTGCCCCTGCCCTAAGGAGATCAGGCCCCCTCGTGTCTGTGCCCTTCCCAAAGCTCCTCATTAAGCCTTTTTTCATTAAGCACAGGGAGTGCTCCTGGTGTTTAATCCCCCCCACTTTGCCACCTTCACTTCCACAGCGGAGCCTGAGCCTGCCCTGCTGGTGTTAGGCTGAGCATCAAAGCCTTGGCAGCACCAAGCCTGATGTGGGGCAGCAGCCACCCTTGTAAAGCCCAGAGCAGCCCCACCTGGGCTCCTGCATCCTCACAGGGGGCTGGAGATGATTTCCAGCTTC